TCCTTTGATTTTAACTTGGGGGGGAAGGAGATTTATTGAAAAATCAGCTCACTTTGAAACTTCCTTAATCTCTTGAAATAGAGTTACATCATCAAAAATAAATAAATAAATGTTTGTGATGTAGCAAGGAAAGTAATCTTCTTATTCTCCCTTCAAGGGTTGGCTGGCAAAACAACTGCCAAGGAAGAGATCTGTCACATTGGACTCTGGGCTGCAACCTCTGAGATTGATGATCCTCCACTTCCTCTTCCCCCTCCTGTCATGAAAGTCATACTTCTTATATAACCAACATTTAAAAACTTGGTTCTATGCTTGTACTTCACATGTTCAGAAGAACAGGTTTCTTTGGATGCAAATGATGATTTTTAAAACATTTTTGGGTGGAAAAGAGGGAACAAGCTTGCTTTTTAAGATCTTCAAAAATTGCTTCAATAAAATGAGTTTTGTGCATTATGACCTGCCCTGTTTCATGCTTTATTTCTTTTTCATCTTTCATTATTCCCACATAAGCTAGCAACCTTTCCTGTGGCAGGGGAGACATGTGTAACACATCATTGGTCCAAAGCTTGACTTCATTTAACAGAGATCCTGATGCATTTTTTCATACAATATTAGTAACCTATCTTGAAATTATTATGTGAAAACTCTAAATTAGTATCCAAGGCCAGACAATTTCTAGAGTTAATATCCCAGTACTTTTGCTCCGAATTTGGAATTTGGTGGCCATCTTCCTCCCATCTGTTTACCTTTCAAACTGCAGAGTGTCCAAATAAGGAGGCAACATCAGTAGAATAAAATAGAATGACTATTTGATTTAGGGGAAAACACCTAGGGATTCAATTTCTTAAAACACCCCACTCTCCCACCATACTGCTTCTACAGTGATCTATTATATCCTGAAAACGCAGTTTACCTTTTTTATATAAATTTTATTAAAAATATTAAACAAAAAGATAGAAACTAAAACAAACTAATGTAAGTAAGGAAGAAGAAAAAAGAAGACGAAAGCAAAGAGAAACCAAAAAAATGCGAGAAAGGAGAAAAAAGGAAGACAAACAGAAAACAAAGAAAATGGTTTCTGGTAACTTTACAGCAGTTATAAACACAATTCTATTTTAACCTCTCTTTCTAAAATTATATCATATTGCTCTTATTTCAATAATCTATACTATTTATCAAAGCCCTAAATCATTTTTACCCACAAATCCCATAAGAAGTTTCCAGTCACCAATAAATATAGGTAAGATCTTTTCTCTAATCAAAGAAATCAATTTATCCATTTCAGTGAAATTTATCTACCAGCCATTCCTGCATAGTGGATTTTACCATAGTGGGTAAAACCTTTCCCTCTCTCTGTATGTAATAATCCTGTCTTAGTAAGCATATACTAAAATCATCTTCCATGGCTTTTTCTAACTGTTTATCATTAATTCTAAAAGAGAAGGTTCTGGATTCAATAGACCAGGGGTGTCAAACTCAAGATATGTCACAACGTATCGTGACTTTTTTTCCATTGCTGGCAATGGGGTGGGCACGGTTTCACCATGACGCATTCACCCCTGCAATAGACTATTGATCTATAAAACCATCTGTATCAAAATATGCACCTGAATCCAATTTGTTCTAGCTTTTTTCTCCCCTAAGCATGATAAAATTTCCCCTCATGTTGTTCACATTTCCAGTATGCATTTGAAGAGTCTTGGTAGATTCTGGAACATTTTTCTGGCATCAAGTACCAATGAGACATCATTTTATAAAAATTCTCTTTCAGTTCATAACACAATCTAAATTCAAACCTTTTAACCATATATTTTCCCACTGACCATCTGTATATTATAACCAAAATTCTTGGCCCTGTGTTTTATTGAAAAGCTCAACTGGAGGAATTTTCTCATTGAAATTTCTTGTGTAAATAAAGAGAAGCATGGTTGCAGGCTGCTGGAGAGAGGATTGATGGACACAGTGAAACATGAGGTATAAATAGGGTGTAAATAAATGCAAAAATGTTGTTATACACACTGCTGG